ACAAATATTTTACCTACATTACGGTTAATACTTTTCAAGGGAGAACAGTAGATGCTGGCTCTTGCAAAAGCAGGCGATCCTTCTTTAGACAAAATGGACACTCTAAGGGTTAATTCATTCATTCAGACCTATTGTGAAGTAATTACTTCAGAGACTGAAAAAGTGAAATGCAACTCACAAAAGTTGCTAAAAGAGTCATGACATTAAAATAAAATGAATACTCATTGTGTGCTGAAAATATACTTAGCACCATTCTAGGTGTGATGGAGAGGTTCAATACAGATCCAAGGTAATAGATGCTTCTTATATAGAACGTGTTTTCTCAATGGAGTGATAAAACCTGTGTCTATGAAATAGGTATAATTATATAGCTTTGGGACTACATATGCCAAAATACATGATGAGACAATAAGTGTTATTTTACTTTAAAGAATGAAGAAATCATGATGAGAAGTAACAGTTAATGAATGCTTTCTAGAAAGAGTAGGATCTAAATTGGCCTTGGGTTGTAAGCAGAGTTTATAGATAAAGTAGTGGTATATCAGAGTCACTCTGCATGTTAAAATGTACAAATTCCCAAGTCTCAGACAAATGTGTCTTCAAAAGAAAGAAACAAACAAATGACTTGAGCTCCCCTGCAAAGACCGTGGGTGGTATGTTGAGCAGCCAAGCAGTGACCAGAGTGGCATGTTGAGGGACAAAAGGTGTCAATTAGAATATGATTAATACAGATTTACAGTGGGATGAGTTGTTAGTCTGAGGAGCCTGAATGTGAACCTCTATGCAAAAAGAAACCATGAAATGCTTTTGAAAAAGGTGTGATGGGAAGAAAATGATGTTCTTAGGGCAATTAGATCTAATAGTATTAAGCATGCCGACTTATTAAGTTTTGCACCCTGAGAGAGTGGAATGAGGGAAAGGGGTCTTTATCTGGAGTAAGACCAGAAGAAGCTAAGCTGTAATTCTTACTGAACTGTAAATTATGTGCAGATATATTATCTGTCATGTTCATGGGTGTATTCTCAGTACATAGCACATGAAACAGGTACCCAATAAATATTTGTCAAATGGATGGATGGAGTGATTTCCGTGTGAAATCTAATATTGTATAGTATTAGAAGGGGGGAAAAGTCATGACATTATGCTAGCAGAAATCTCATTTGATATTGAGGACGAAACACTTTCAAGATTTTGCAAAGCCATCCACCCAAAGAAACATTCTGCCACTTTCCAATAATTTTGAAGGATGCTCTTTCTACTTCTACCTTATTACACAATGAACTAAGTAAGATAAAGAAGTTATGTGCAACAAAACAGAGGGAGATTTTCTGAAAGGCATTATCCTAGGAAGTTGTACTCCTGCTTCCTATTGTGCTCTTGGATATTCTTCTGGCACTGCCTCCAGGCCAGTTCCTAGTTAGTTACACATCTCATTTACTTCCCACACTTACACCTTCATCATCACCTATGACACTCCTTCATAATGTTACCAAAATAATACTGACACAAATATTCTGTTTAAGGAATTGTATCCATATATATATAACACATTTATTGAAAAGCTTCATTTAATGCAATAATTAAAATGAAAATGCTGACGCACTAAGGGTTAGGTCTCACCTATCTGGAAAACTGTAGTATCTAAGAGATGCCGATAGCCAAAGTTGTGCTGTGGTGGGCAATTAATGTGAAAATGCAGGCTCTTTAAAAATTTTACAGTGTTTTAAATGCATGAGGCTGTCCCCTCAACATTTTTTTTGCACTGCATGTGGGTATGCTTCATTAAAGAGGTGAAAGGCACAGAATTAGGGATGCTAGACTCACTGAGTTAATCATTTTGCTGCAGTTAACACATTTTAGCAGAGTGTAGGTTTTAAGGGTGAGAAGGAAGTAAATGATGTTTCAATAAAGTGTTCTTTTCCCCTCCCTCTTGTTTCCACTTAGGTATCTCTTAAGTCTTAATTTCCCTCTGAATTTTTTTCCCAGTTTACATTCTTTTCGGAAAAAATGCAATGATGACAATGTTTGTTGACCTGAAACACATTATAAAAAATTCATAATACTTTGAGCAGAGATTCCAAACTCCTGTTTGCCTCCTGCATCTCCCTTACCTATGCCCCTTTTTAAAAGAAATGTATATTTAATCCATTTTTATTATGCTTCCAAATTATTTTAAAATTGGTAATTGTATTTTTTCCCTTTACTCATCAGTTTCTAGTTGACAATGAGTGTTTGCCCAAACAGTAACCAATCAAAAGGTATAAAAGAGCTTCCAGACATATCCAAGAAGAAATTCTTTGGAAAAAACAGGTAAATGGATCAGAATTCAAACAAAGTAATTTCCAAAAGAAATACTAAATAGTCTCTAAATGCAAAAGTATTGCTCCCCAAAAGCATTTTATGGGAGCACAAAAAGCTCCCATCACATTTTATAATAATACTTCTACTCAAGGACTTATTGTGTTGACTTATGTGTTGCACTCAACGTTAACATTTACAGCTACTTACCCTAAGTATTTCCTTCACTGAAACCTTGGCTCTTTCTCTACTTTTCATCTGTGTTTAACAAGCCATTTTAAAGAAACTTATTTATTTTACCAGGCAGATATTTACTGAGAACTTGCATGCGCCTTACATTCTAAGAATGTTGATGATAAAACCGTGGACGCAATAGATTCTCATGGTGCTTATGGTCAGGGCTAGCACACACACATGTGAAATGATCACTGATGATCAAAAGCATAAACACTACGTTTGGAAGAAATAGTCAGGGATCCAGCAGTGTCTCAGAAAGTCTAGGAAGTATAAAAGAGGATGGGATTGGTGCTTCAAAGAACTTCTTGTGCAAGATGTTACCTATGTACCTTAGCTGTGCCAGGCAATGCTAGGAAATGCTGGAGAGAAAAAGATGAGCTAGAAACCTCCACTGTCCCATGTGCTTGTGCTGTTTGAGGAGGTGAGTAGAATAATACCCAGTTCTCATGCAGTAGAATGAGCACCATAATGGAAATGCACACCAAGAACTAGGCAGTCTGACCAGAGACAGGACATTTGAGAAAGACTTCACTCAGGTGGTTCTATCTTCGTCTGGATGCTAAAATAGAAGTAATGTATGAGTAAGGGTGATCCAGAAGCATGAAGGAAAGGGAGGGGCTTTCAGAACAAGTGCAAGGACATTAAGGTGAAACAGAATATAGTAGAATTCCCAGATCCTTGTTATTGTTCTCCATTAGGCTAAAACAAAGGTGTTTTCTTTTGTTTAAAATTTCATGACTGTAGATTGAATAACAGAAGGTAATTTAATAGACCTCTAAACTGAAGGAATTCATGAATTAAATCACAACATACCTTCAATGGCCAGAAAAACTATTGCCTCCTTATGTCAACATTAATAACAGCACCAACACCTGCTGCTCAGGCCAGCTGGAGGGTTGGGTGTTGCTGCCTAGGTAATGCTCACAGACTGATGTCCTGCCATGAGTGGTTATGCCAGGTTCCACAAACAAAATCTTAGTGTTCTATCAGAATCGAATGAGAATTACTGTCATTAGTTAAATAAAAGAAACATTAGATAAGAAGCAGAATGAAGAACACACAATCCATCAATTTGGTGAATGTTGTCAGATACTTTCTGGGTGCAGGGCAGCTATGCATCCAGTAGACAGGGAGAATATATATGTCCTTTACTTTATGTACTTGTTTCTCTAATCCAAGGGCATAGTAATCCAAGGAAATGCAGATGGAGAATAGGTACTTTGTATGTAGAGGAGTGGTTCTTAAAGTGAGGTCCCTGGATCAGCAGTGTTAGCATCATTTGGAAACTTAGACCTGCATGGACCCCATTCCAGATCTCACTTGAAAACTTGTATAGCCCAGCAGTCTGGGAGTGACCAGCTCACCAGGGGATTCTGACTCTCCAAAGTTAAGAATGCTGAAATAGAGCATTGCTACTCACAGGCCATCATGCTAAACATTACCTGAAAGCTTGTTAGAAGTAGAAATTCTTGGCCCCACCCCAAGCCTACTAAATCAGAGTTTTTGGGAGTAGAGCCAAAAAAACTGTGGTTTAACAAGGTCTCCAAGTGATTCTTATTCATGTCAAAACTTGAGAAGCATCGATGGAACTGTTGATTCTCAGCTTTGATTGCATATCTGAATCACCTGGGGAGACAGTTGAGCTTTTCCAGGCCCAGATCACACCTAGAACAATTGAATTAGAATCTATGGAGTCAGAACCCAGACATCAGTATTTTTTTTTTATAAAGAAAAGACATTTAATTGGCTCACAGTTGCACCGGCTCTACAGGAAGCATGGCTGGGAGGCCTCAGGAAACTTACCGTTATAGCCAAAGGCAAAGGGGAAGCAGACATGTCTTACATGGCTGGAGCAGGAGGAAGAGAGAGAGAGCTACACACTTTTATATAACCAGATCTTGTGAGAAATCACTCACTATCACAAGAACAGCAAGGGGGAAGTCTTCTCTCATGATCCAATCACCTCCCACCAAGCCCTGCCTCCAACACAGGAGATTCCAATTCAACATCAGATTTCGGTAGGGGCACAAATTCAAACCATGTCACATGAAGATTTTCATGCTCTGCTCTGACATCTCTACCACATGGGGTCCCCAACTGAGTTGGCTCCGAACAAAAGTAGGAGAACCAATGGCATAGAGATCAGTATTTTTTTTTTTTTTTTTTTTTTTTTTTTTTTTGAGACGGAGTTTCGCTCCTGTTACCCAGGCTGGAGTGCAATGGCGCGATCTCGGCTCACCGCAACCTCCGCCTCCTGGGTTCAGGCAATTCTCCTGCCTCAGCCTCCTGAGTATCTGGGATTACAGGCACGCGCCACCATGCCCAGCTAATGTTTTGTATTTTTAGTAGAGACGGGGTTTCACCATGTTGACCAGGATGGTCTCGATCTCTTGACCTCGTGATCCACCCGCCTCGCCTCCCAAAGTGCTGGGATTACAGGCGTGAGCCACCGCGCCCGGCCAGAGATCAGTATTTTAAAATATTCCTTGAGTGATCCCAGAGTGTAGTTGAGGTTGAGAAACACTGTTCTAGAATTAAAGGATCAATGTGTTTGAGAGTATGTTAAGATCTTAGGCAAATCACAAGAGTGTTAAGAACTACCACCTTCACAAAAGGAGAATGTGCCTCAGATATTCTGGCTCTGCTTTGATTTTAACATTCAGTATTCTTAGTTATTTTGAGTTTACTTAGTAGTACTAATATGAAGCTTGTTAGTACTATGTTAAAATTAGTCTATAAGTTAAGTGGGTCTAAATGTTTTAATCTTTAATCTCTGACCTAACTAGAACTTTTCCAAACACTTTGATAATACTCTCCATCTTGCCGCCTGACCTTCACTTATGTTCTTACAGCATTCTTCATGTGTTACTATTACTTGTAAGACATTCTTCATGTGTTGCTAGTAATAGTAATGGCAAGTATTTATTGAACACTTACTATGTGAAGATTCTAACTGGCTTTTAATAATCATATCAGCTCTTGGAGGTAGGAGGTAGGGATCTTCCTTGCTTTATCAGGTGAGAAAACTGTATTATAGAGAGGTTGGCAACTTTCCCAGGTCATAATATGTGACAGCTAAAGGGGGCATAGTTGTTGGAATGAAATAAATCTACTATAGTTGTACCAAAAGGCTTATATTTGTCTTACATACTTGATTTGGTGGAGGCCTAAGGGGTCAATTTCAAATTCTTGGATTCCTAGATATGTATAGTTGTATTAAAAATGCTAAAACCTATTTATCATGCGATCATACACATCACCTAAAGTATTATGGAAATGAATCTGTATTATTAAGGGAAAAAGGCCTGTGTGAAGAACAATGGAAACTTTAATTGAAATTAAATAACATACATTCTTCACACTAAAAGTGCACGTTATTACCCCATAAATTACTTCAGGTGGCTTTGATTCATGTTACATACACTAACAAATGTAGAAGGGTGATATAATGCTTCTCAATTAAGTACTAATGAAAGTTTACTATTTAACTGCTTCTTATCTAAGAATTTAAATGCTTTCTAAAATATTAGAACTTTTCATTAGGAAGCACTTTTAAAAATAGCAAAACTGACATGCACCATGATTTTCGTATAGATTAAATTGAACTTGTAAATGGTGTTATGAATTATACTATAGAAACCAAGAGTATATTCAAATTAGATATGTTTCTAAATAAATTATGTATGATTGAACAAATACCCATTGAGAAATAAATGTATTCCTTTTCTTTCAATTATCTAGGATTCCTTGTTTATCTCTTCAGGAGCAAAATGTCTTCTATCTTATTTCCAGTTAAACATTCTCCTGATTATGTAAATATGGTAACTTCCAATCCTCTTATTTCGGTTTATCTCACTACACTTCTAATTTAGACATGATCAATATCTTTTTTGCATTTCATAGGCATCAGGATCCAGAATAATTGAGTGAGCTCAAGAAAACAATAGCAAGAATGATGTTTTCAGAAAACTCAGCAATCATTCCCTTAATAAATATTAATTGCCTACCGACTGTATAAGCAAGGTGCTGGCTAGGTCATGTGGAGTATACAAATGTGTATTAAATATGGCTCATTCTCCCTAAGAACTTACACGTGTTACACAAAATACATGCATAAGAATTATAATATCAAATAGAAAATAAATACAGGCCCTAGAATGTACAGCTGTAGTACAATTTACATTTATTATACAAAGACTAATTTCCTGCTAGCTAAATCAAGGAAGGCTTCACGGAGAAAAAAATATTTCAACACACACATGAATTAGCAGTAGAATCAGGCTGATGTTAGGGAAGAATGAATGACATTCTACATTGAGAAAGAGATATTCAGCGTATATACAAAGAGCAGTAGAAACACTCACAAGTGGAAATGGACTCAATTTACAATAGTTGCCTGCCTGGAGTAGTTTAGATGTTGACTGCAAGTGGCAGTTTAGTCAGAACAATCCCAGTTTCTACTTGTTTATCTTATGTAATTATTTATTGTGCCTCCTTTTGCTCTCAAAAATATCCTTGTTTAGACAGCAGATTATCACTCTTTTCCTAAATGAACTGCCCTGTGTCCTGTCCCAGTAAAAGGTTGCATTCAGGCCCTTTGTAACTGTGTCCACTCCATGGTTGATTGAAACCAGAGCTTGGCATCAAAAAATTAGCTGACCAATCAGATTTCTATTTTTGGAAAAACCCAAGAATTTCACAAGATACAGAAGCTTTATAGCTTCAGTAAATGACAGCGTTGTAGCCTTGAAAGCTATGTACAAGCCAGAATTACAAAGGAGCATAAATTAAATGAACAGTAGCAGTGAGGTAGTTGCAAAGCCAAATGAAGCAGACACCTAGGGAGTAACTGAGGCACATGAATGGAAGAGAACTGCAGTGAAATTGCTTGAACTCTTACTGATGAGATTTGTGCTGATGCCTTGAATCCAGGACCACCACCTATATGGTCATTCTTTGTGATACTCAGAGGTATGCCAAATGCTGTTATTGAATTCCTCAGAGATTTCTTATTGTTTCACCTCAAACCTTACAATAATCCCTTCTATCTTTCTATCCGTCCAAGCTAGCTTTCTATGATTCACGTTCCTAATAAACAGAGAAGGGAAAGAGGCTGAAGACAAAAGGTCCAATTAACAGATACTGCACTATTTCTGGAAAAAGGCAATGGCAGCCACATTGTTGTCCCAGGAATGAGAACAGAAATGAAAGAAGTTAATGGAAGTGGAAAGGATGGAAGGCTTGACAACTGATTAGATTTGAGGAGTCAGATAAAATAGGAAGCCAAAGATAATTTAGAATATTTTGATTTTGATTTTCATCACCAAATAAGATAGCAGTACCATCAAGAAAAAATGTTTTTTTAAAATAATAATAATAAAAAGAAGCCCTCCAAATAGTACCAAGAGAGGGAATTTAATAGAGGAAATTGATTACATAGATGATGGGAGACCTGAGAAGCCAAATAAGATGTGATAAAAACAATCAAGGGATTAGCAACCGCAGGAAGCCATTCTCACTTATGGCTGGTGCTTTAAGCCCAAGGTGACACTATGAGATTTCAGAATTGGAAGTCATCTCATGGGAGCTAGGATCTGGTGGGGGCTGTCTGGCAGGAGCTCTAACCACAGAAGGAGGATGTGTCCAGCAGGAAGCTGAAACACCAGAGAAGGTCCAGCCATGAGTCAGAAAATACCTTCCATGGCAGAGAGGAGAAATACCCTGTATTCTATTTCCCCTGCCATTTAGTTTCCTGCTAGTGGTACACATTAACCTTATTCCATCCAGAAAAGTGCATTGGCAAATGAGTCTGGGAAATGTAGTTTGCAGGAGGACGTGAACCAGATCTTAAGGGACACAGATAATGACTGGTGCAACAACTGACCTGTGTGAGGCAAGAGGGAAAAACAGTAATAATATAGTTTTTCTCTAGATCCCTTCATACACAAAGATACAAAAGAAATGTGTTAGCTCAATGAGCCATTCTGGGTGGCCCTGTAGGTGGCTGTTCTATGAATAAGATTTTTAGACAAAACAGAGATGACTTAAAATGTCACAAGAAAAGTATCAGGAATTAATATTGACTTGATCTGTCACAGGTTTCAATGATTTGTATTAAGCCAATGATCTTCATTGTAAATGTCTGGGTAATTGCCAGCAGCATTATAACTAATTGTGTAGATTAGTCTAAAGGATTCCCCCACTAATATTCAAGAAATTATGTCAAGCAAAGAGGGCCTGGGTAAGAGTGACTGTGTCTATTCATTACATTTTTTGGACTAATAACACACTTAGCCTTCCTGTGTTGCCAACACGTACAAAACCAGATTGGGGTTTTGAGTTGTTCATGGAACTGTCATTTATTGGGTAGCTTCTGTAGAAGCAAGATATAGAACTATAATTAGGAATAAGACAGTCCCTGTACTTCAAAGCTCTTAGGGGAGGCACACAAGTAAATATGCAATTATTATCATACATTAGGATAACACCATCATGGTGATAACCACTGAGTGATAGCCAGAGACATAGAAGAGGTACCCAAGTCTAACTTGGGATAGTCAGAGATTGCTTTCAAGGATAGCTGAGTAAGAGTTAGCTAAGAGATGATACATATTTCTGGGAGAGAAATTTTCCAGGCGACGTGGTGATTGTGCAGTGACGCAGAGAGCCTGATTATTTTGGTGACTGCTAGTATTTCAGAACTACTTCAGCAAAAGTTGTAGAGAAGATAGAAGACAGCAAAGTATAAGCAGAGGATAGATAATGAGGACCTGGAACAGTGGTTTGCTGGTAAATGTTTAACAAGAGGCTCTTGGGGGAGAGAGAGATTCTGATTTGTAGCATTTGGCAAATTTTGTTGCACAAATGCTTCAGCATAGCCAATTTTAAGCTACAAGTGTGATGTCATTGAATGCAGAATTGGAAAGAAATGGGAAGTAGCACAGCATTGTATAGTTATTTTCATTATACAGATATAATAGATAAAATATCCAGATAGTATTTAACAGCTATAGATGCAAAATTTAAATATATATACTTTCATGTGCTTCATGTTACTGAATGCCCACAACATTCATTATTCATTCACTCACATGTTAATTTTACAAACATTTTTGAGCCTCCACTCTATGTCAAACACAGTTCTAGTTGTTGGTATTACAACATCAAACAAAAATATTTGTCCTCACTGAGGTAATACAAACATTAGTATGCCCGTTTTACAGCTGAGAAATTGAGACATATGAGGATTAAGCAATATAGTTAAAATCACACAACTGGTACATGCAAGAATCAAAGAGGAAATCAGCCCTCAGATTTTAAATCCAAGGACTCATTTCCAATATATCATACTACCTACCTAGTTGAGCTGGATTTTTTCATGGTTCCCTATTTTTATTCATGTGGTTGGATAAGTAAAATATGTTTATGTGACCTTTCAAATAAATTTGGGTCATTCTTCTTGGAAGCTTATCTGGTATGAACTTTAAAATGCTGCAATTAATAATGATTATAATACCCTGGAACTCTATAGCAACTTCTTTTGAAGAACTCCAAAGACCCTCTAAATGTATTAAACTAAGTTCTTCAAGTGAATTAGTTATCATCTGAGAGTAAGATAGACTTTTTAAAATGCATTAATTGTATTAACCCTTTCAGGCCTATAGACTTAAGTGTTTCTCCAAACAAAAATATTAATTTCTGTTCATTTTCTCTAGAGAATAATGAACTAATTTTTATTGAGCATGTAGTCAACAGAATTAATTCAATTGTGAGGAATTTTAACAATCATTTATATCTATTAATTTGAAGATATACATAGATTCCAATAATTTAAAAATGCATATTGCCTCTTTGCCCTATGTCTCATAAAACAAAATTATGATAAAGTTATGTGTTACAAAAAAAAGGCACTGATTGTAATGGAGGGTACTTCAAAGGCCATGAACTTGGAAAACAACTTGTTTGCCAGAGACACCCAGCAATGGCAGCCAGAAGATTGACTAACTCTCTTTATATTCAGTTAACTAACTCTCTGTATATTCAATTATCCTTCAGACACTTTTGACCTCTTCCTGTGCCTTTCTAGTCATGTGCAATCTTATGGATATCTTTTCCTTCCTCTTGTTATTTTCTACTTCCTCTGTTTCTATTTGTTTCTAGATTTATTCATGTTTGTATATTGGATTAGCTTGCTTCCCATCTCCCCATTACCGATCTCTCATCATACCACTATGTTATTAATCTCCCCATGAAATATATCAGGTTTATTACATTAGTTACCAGCTCAAAACATATCAGTGGCTTTCTAGTCCTCACAGGCTCAAGTTAATCTGTATATTCTGACTTTCATATTCTGGGTTCATGCAAACTTTTCAACTTTCCCACTTTTACCTGCTTAGGAGAATCCTCAGGTTCCATTACGCTCATGTTTCATGCCAGAAGTTCTGCTGCCTCTTCCTTCACATAGACTCCACATAAGCTAATACCCTGCTTCTCTTTTAATCCTCCATCTTCAGCTCACAGCCTCACTCCTATGTGAACACTTAAATGATTCTCCCACCTCTTATCTCCTGTAGCACTTATTCTCATGCAACATGTTTGAGCCTTCATTAAATCTACAGTTTAAAAAAATGTTTTTATACTACAGTCTCTTATTCATACTAAAACTTTCAAGTCTATCCATTTTTTTTATACAACCACACTGTAAGGTCTTTTAGGTCCAAGAGTACAAAAGAGAGGCAAAGCACATTGTTTAAATCCACACATACTGTGTAAACTCAGGCAACTTTTTAACCCTATGAGCCCCAATCACCTACCTCATCAGTAAAATAGGTAATATTCATACTGGAGAACAGTTGCTGGAATTAAATAAAGGTATGTATTAAAAAGGCTCAACCAGATTTGGCACAAAGTCAGTACTCAGTACATGCTAGTCATTGTTCCTTTTCTCTTCAAGGCTCCATAATTCTGTATTCATATTACCCTCTTTATATCTTTTGCAAAGATACATTCTATTCCAATTCTTTCCACCTGGCCTCAACATTTATGAACACCCCTGGTGGGAAGGGATAGCTTTTGAGGAGAGCACATCTATGCTCATTTACTTCTCAGGGATGTAAGCTACCCTGCTTACTGAAGGCATATCTTCATAGTCACACCCAAGTCCATTGTACTCTTATGCTCTCAAATGGGCAGTAGCAAATCACCCTGATTAGTAATAGTGGCCTGTTTCTAAATTTTCACATGCATAAGAGAAATTTTTTTAGCAAGTGTTATCTTACATATTTGTGAAAATATTATCATTATATGGGGCAATAGCTGAAAGAAAAATTTTTCAATAGTCTTAATTTTCCAGCTAACATAAATTCTCTCCATTTTAATCATCCGTATAGATTAAAGACTTCACTGTTAGCTGAATATTGAGAGACTTTATTCTAATTTTTAAAATTTATGAGGTTCATAATGTTTAAACTTCAAGGGTGAGCTGTTTGTATCATCTATAATAAATGACTAAACAGTAAGTAGAAAATGAATTGTTGACTTTAAAAGATTTCCTCCCACTTCACCCCTCAAACCTGTGTTGCTATGTATTTGGCCTGAAATCTTAACTTCTAGTCAATCTTTGGATCTAAAGCCTACCAGTTTTTTATATCCTTTAAAATTGACATGTCTCTTGGAGACCAATGGATGCTAAAACAAATTGTGTATACACTCGGCAATATAGGATAGTAACAACCAGACTCCCTGCAATTGTTTTTTTTTTTTTTTTTTTTTTTTTAGCACAGGTTTAACAAATTACCACAAACTGGGTGGCTTAATAGAAATTTATTATCTCACAATTCTTGAGTCTAAGTGTCCAAAATCAAGGTTAATTGTCCCTGTGAAGGCTCTAGGGAAGAATTCTTCCTTGCCTCTTCCAGCTTCTGGTAGCCCCAGGAGTCCCTTGACTCAAGCAGCACAACGTCAATATCTGCTCCTGACCTCACATAAACCTCTTCTTTGTGTGTCTTTCTGTGTCCTCTCTTTTCTCATAAGGATACCAGTCATTGGATTTAGAGCCCACCCTAAATTGATGGTGATGTCATTTTGGAATTCTTAACTAATTACATCTTTAAAGACCCTATTTCCAAATCTGGTGACATTCAGGGTTTCAGATCAATGTGAATATTCAGGGGGAACTATTCATGTCACCACATTTGCCTTGAAAATTCTGGAAAATGTAGTAATAACGGCTTCTGATAAACTAGTGTAGGAAGTATTCATGGTTATAGATTACTAAAAAGTTTGACCGTGAGCTCTTAATAAACCAAAGGTTCTACAAAAGGTGTATTTGCTTAATTAAAACTACAAATCCGACATTTTGGTTTGGGACTCATTATTATTTATTTGATGTAAAATAGATTCCATAACTGAAGCACCATACCTCTCAATTTCCCAACATTTATTTTATTATTTTTTGTCTTCACACTACTTAATAAATGAGGGAAAATCATTTAGGCCAAAGTTCACCTTGGTGACACCATCCAGACAGGTCTAGGAAATAACCATGGAAATTAAATCTCTAAGAAAAAAATTATTTTATACAAAATATTGCAAATTTTATTCTAGATATATATTTGTTGGAAGAATGAATACTATTTCATAGATATGATAGAGTGGTATCCAGAATCATTAAACAAAGATCTTTCAGGGTCAGTCTTATTATATCTGGAGAATTTACCCAGGACTTATGTGCTTTTACTGAAAATCTAACCACCTGCACCCCACCGACTGTCTAAAGCTAGGGTTTTTTGGAAGACTTAGGAAATCTGTCTTCAGAAGGTTTCTGAGACCGTTACACCCACCACTTCATTAAAGTGCTTCACTTCACTTCATTAGACAAGGAGTAAAATGTTTGTCAAAATTATTTAGAGTACCATGTATATGGGTATCTTATTTAATACCATTTAATGTTGGTATTACAAGTTATATAAAATGGAGAAATAAGTCATAAAATTCGACAATAATGGTATTTGATATTATCATTATCTTTTTTTATTCATTCCCACAGAAATAGCTTGCTATTGGTTTAGAAAAATTATATTTGAAATAATAAAAAAGGAAAAGGCACTTATATTCTTTACTCTTTTATCTTTATACCCCAGCCCTTTCATTGATCTCTTTCATCTCTGTAGTTATCCTCTGGTGTCCCCAATCAATGAAAAATTCCCAGTGGTTAGGGAACATCTCATTGAATAAGTTACATAAACATTTATTCACATTTCAGGACAACAGGAGCAGTGCCAAATCCTAGCCCACTGTTAAACTCTTAAGCCTTCTTATCCTAATAACACATCCATCCCAAGAAAGAATTTACCAAGACCAGAAGGGAATACATACAATTTTTTATAGTACAGTATTTAAAATGAAACAGCTTTTGGCCCGTGTGGTCTCAGTGGGCGCAAGGGAAAATTCAGGATGCTAGCTCATCTCACACCAAGTTTAATAAAGGGTGTCCTATAAAAAGCTAATTTCTTGCTGGTAAATTGCTTTTTAAGTAATCCTTGCTGTTGCAAGAGACCCATTCATAGTGCTGACACTGGGAGCCATGTTTGAAAGGCTAGATACGCTCTGTGAGATAAGGTAAGGTCCAGGTGGAATCTTCTCTTTACAGGATGACAATGTATGTAACTAATATTGTCCTTTGAGACTAGTTTGCATGCAGTTGCTGGTATGGCACTGTTCAGCAGCCTGCTGCAGATAAAAATGAGTGATGATGCCCTAGATTTTAATGGAACTTTTAGAGTGCATGTAGCAGTGGGGTGCAGTCTTCAGCAAAGAAAAACGAGCTGACTTGCAGGCATGAGAGGTCATCAAGAAAGATAAAGAAATAGGACATCCACTCTAGGCTAGGCAAGGCTTTTTAGAGGATATTATGGAAATGAGCAAGAACCAATTTAATTTTTATAATGCCACTCCATTTAACTTTAAAATACAAGGTCAAGGTACTGTGTTTTTCATAATGATTAAAGATTTGGAACACTCTTTCTGTTGAACCATGCTGCATTTGTTTGGCAGAAAAGAAATATGACAAAGAATAAAATCGGGATCAGAAAACAACAAAAACATATTCTGTCAATTGCCTAACACAAGTTAAAAAGCAAAGGAAAAAGAGAAAACTGATGTACATATTCATCCTTATCCCAGTAGAAGGATTTCTTTACTTAAGGTCCTATTATTTACAGTTAGTTTGATCCCAGGATGGTAACATAAAATGTACCTTTTAAAATAAAATGGATGTATAAGATTAATAAAAACCACATATCTTTGGATAAAACAGCAGATTCCATCTTCTGACTGAAAGTTTTCTTTAACCCATCATTTGGTAAACTATTTACTCTGTAATTTATTAAAAGAGGTACTATTATTATAAAACTATCTCAGTTTGCATCTTGTTGGTTTTGTCAAAATTTCATTCTGCTAATTCTCAACTTCTAATATCTCTGATATACGTGATTATTTTAGAATAAAACAAGAAACACTTTTAGCTGGTGCATCTCTAGGTAGTGTTTTGGATGTAAAGAAGGGGTAATTGTGGTACAGTGTAAAGGATTTTGAACTTGAAGCTGGAGCCTATGTCTCTGCCAAAAAACTAAGTGTGTGACCTTAAATAAGTTACTTATCTTCCTGAATCTTAGTTTGTTTAGCTTTTTCTATAAAGTAGCACACCTGTCTACATCTCAGTTTTGTTGTAAAAATTAAACAAAATATTAGTCTAGAAAGAAATTTATAAACTGAAATATACTATGCAAGTTTAAATCATTGTCATATTCTTACCCTAAAATTTTGACCTTACTTTTCTTAGCAAATGGCTGAATCTATAAAATTTAACCCCCACGCAGCATCTGGATTCAAGAGAACTACGATCATATCTTTATACAGAATACCAATTAGACATACATAGCAAAACACAAGTTTTTCCAACTACTCTCTGTGTTTTTAAAGATTTAGTGTGGGCAGAAGGAATTTTATCAACTATCTTAGGGGAAAAGAAGTCTGAAGAAATGAAGATAATGAGAAAAAGTACTGTTGATTTAAGTGTAGGAATATAAAACTTCAAATTCAAGGCAAATGTGAGGCCAACTGATTTCATAAATATCCTCAGAAAATGGTTTAGTTAATTTAAAAATTTTTCAATAATGAACACAGGTAATCCCAAATTCTGTGTTTCTATAAGCCTAAGATTCACCATAATTTATTCAGCAATTATTTACCATCCACTTATTATAAGAAAAGCCCTAGTATATACCTTGAGAAGAAACTAAGAAAAATAAAACTTGATTCTTTTTGTTTGTTTGTTTGTTTGTAGAAAGTGATTTTATTTAAAGAGAGAGAGAAACAGGAGAAGGAGAGAGAAAGAAACAGCTAACTCTCATACCGAGTGTGAGAATCCAGAAAGATGGAATCCAGGAGAGGAAAGCAGCTTCCACACTGAGTAGAAGGGAATAGAGAGAGATGGAGTTTAGGAGGGGAAGACAGGCTTCCAAGAGAGAGTGAGGAAGGGGATCCCAGAGGGGAAAATCCAGGAGAGAGAAAGATGGCTTCCATGAAGGGAGTGATAGTGGAAAGGGACCCAAACATGGAGTCCAAAACTTGATTCTTTGCTCTTAAAAAGCTGTGTCTAAAATAGGCAAGGTAAGATTTTGTTTTGAGGAGCTCGTATTTTCCAGCTCTGTCCATTCCAGCACTATAATAGTTTGCCAAAATCCTCACTCTGTGGGTGTATTTGCTTAGGGTGTTAAAATTGCTTAAAAACTTTGTTGTGTGGCTAACTAAAATCGCTGAATACCAAACAGTAGCTTTAGAGATGGCAGAGACATTAGGTGTCATGCAGTTCAACTGCTTCACCTGACAGACAAAGACATTAAGCTCCATTTCTTAAATTTAGGTATTTGGTTGAGGATACATAGAGCAGAGCTAAATCAAGAACCTCTTGGGGTTAGAGTTTTTGTTTATGCATTACTTTGTTTTGAAATTAAAAACAGTGCCTGTTTGCTAAGTTAAATTGAAAATATGCTCTGAAGGAGAAAAACAGCTATAAAAATAGATTTAACTTCCAAACTATTGATCACAATGAACTAAAGAAATAATTTCCATAGCCATAAACTATTAACACTTTCCATAGGACAGAAAGGCTGGAGGAAGAGGACAACAAAAAATGCTTTGGGGCTTACTATATATATGGAGAAAGCTAAATGAATAAACCAGTTGAAATAGAGCAAGTACACTAATTACAATAATATTACTAATATTAGAGCTATCATTTATAAATTGTATATTATGATCATAGCGACCAGGTACTTTATATCTGCTTTCTCATTCCTTCCTCACATTAATTCACATACTGTAAGACAGATAACCTCTTCAATGACAGGTTAATGAAAGGAAGGGGAATACATGGGCAAACTAAATTCAGGTGTATTATGTCCACTATGTGGACTTTTGCTATCCAGAGGCCTAGAGCTCAGGCCCTCATCGAAGACAGAACTATCATCCTTATTCTAAAAAAAACTAAGAACCCAGACACAGCTGTGCTGCTTATAGACTAGAATGTGAGAGAAAAAGACAAGCTTTCTTCATGGACTTAATAAACTGAAACATTTCTTCAATTTTGAGATTGAGAAACTTAACCTATGCTAGGCATAAAGATGATACACTACCTTCATAACCTTCGTGAGGAGAAATCAGCATTTCTCTCAGTCCTAGGAGGAGGATGACCATGAAGGTCTTCATTCTCATGAGAAGATAAATGCTTCAACGCCCTTTTAATGGTTTACTCAATATTCACCAAGAAAAGTAGATGGGATTATTTTTGCAGACCCTTATAGGGATAATTTATTCTGATGAGCAGAGACATACCTTTAATGCATAAATTGTTCCCTTTGTGCTCTTTGTGATAAACATCACCGGAGAGAACAAACACAAAGTAATGACATTGAATTAAAAGACACCAGAGAGGCAACAGCGACTGGCATTTATTAAAGTAAAAGGATAGTGCAAACTGCTGTGCATTGAATTCTGCTCTGAAGATTAACAGGCTGGATCAGGCTTTGACCATCATGGTGAGAAGGAGATTTTTCAAATAGAAATCCCCCAATCAAGGTCCTGCTGTACCCAGAAAGGAACGGCTCACAGAAGTCTTATGTTTCTTTGCACATACCAAATTGCTTGGCATATTTTATCACAAGGTTTAGTTTCCAGGGAATGTGATCAATAAATCATGATCCCAATTCCAAGTTAACCCTCGGATTTTCTCAGAACAGTCAGTGCATGACTGTCAACTTTTGTGCAATGTGGAAATTAGAATTGATCATGCGTTTTTCCAGCCACTGTTTTAGATTCATATAATATTAGTGAAATCATGTCAGACTGGTATAGCCATGAATTTATACTTCATGAATAAGCACTCAATAAATAGTGGATTAAATCAACAGAATTGATTTTTTTACCTCTAATAATTTCAAAGTATCGTTGAAGACAAGGTTATTGAAGTTGTCACTTTTCTTTCTGAACCTTTGTTGTGCCAGGAGGAACAGATGGTAAAATCAAAAGTGATTAGAGAATCAGTGGGGTGGGGGTGAGATTAGAGGGTGGGATCTTCCCAGTGAGACCTGCTAGCATCTTCCCTGAGCAGTATGTTAACCCATGACAATTTTTTAGAAATCTATGCCCCTAAGTTGCCTGACATCCAACACAAACTTGATGCATCCTACATTTCTAAATATTTTTATTGCTTTTTAGTAGTATCAGGTTTATTCACTGTAAAAGTCAAGAATAAAATTTTAAAATGCAAATAAAAGTGTCGATTTTCTCTCTTTCCGATTCCTTTTTGTTTTATTGAGGTATAAGTTACATGCAGAAAAAGATCACCTTGTTTAAGCGTATAGCTGATGGTTTTTGACAAATATATGCAAGCCTACAACCACATCCATGATCAAAATATAGAATATTTTTATCACCTCAAAAAGTTTGCTTGCACTCCCATTGCAGTCAGTCTCCTGCCCCACCCCAGCCCCTGGAAATCACTGGTAGGTAAAAGCACTTTTAATCTGAAAGGTATTTTATGTATGGCAGTATCGGTGGTAATAATAACAAGATTTATTCATTGGTTCATTATATTTTTGAGCACTTAAATGTGCCAGTTATATACAACCCATTATGGTCAACCCTTGCGCTCCTCACAAGGGATAAAGTAGTGGCAGAGATAGACAAAGAATCAGTCGCTATACCAGCCCTGTCTTATAGAAATTTTTAGTGTTAGAAATGCACTATAATGCGGCCATTGAGAACTTGAAATGTGCTTAGTGGGAATGAAGAACTGAAATTGTAACTTTATTTAATTTTAATTAATTTAAATTTATATAGCCACATGTGGCTAATGGCTATTGTATTGGAAAGTACAGCTTCTGTACAATATGAGAATATGATACATTATAAAGCAAGAGTTTAACCAAGGGCTAAAGCTTTACTATCACCAGGGTTACTGGTGTTATGTAAAAAGGAATCTTTTAATAGTAAAATAAATCCTTTAAATAGTCAAATACCTGAGGTAGTTTTCTTCTTAAGGGAACACACAATGGCTCATTAAAAGGATGTTAAAAACTAGCATTTAAGGTAATTTCGTGAAGATTTCCTTTGGGTTACTCATGCTTATCGTATACATAAATAAGCAATTTTAGATGGGACCTGTTTTTGATTTGAACATTTTAACAAAATTATCGATCATCATTGTATGTGTGTTCAACCTATTTTTTCTGAGAAAGACAAAGATTAAGTAGAAGTCATCAAAATTACCTCAACAATTTTTGTTCTTAAGTTTTAGAAGGCATTTAAGGTGTTTAAAATGTACACTTTAAAACAGATTCAGAGTACTGTGCAGCTGTGGCTCTTATAGTTTCCCAGTCATGTATCTGAAAGCCTTTGTTACATCTGTTTCTAATTGTGCATGGATTGTCCAAGATATGCAATTGGACATTCTATTCTATTTATCAATTTGAAGAGGTTTTATCGATATGGTCACTATGGAGTCACATTAAATTGAGAAGTGTCCAGGAGTTGTAGTATTTATTTAAAATTGTGACTTTCTTCTGAGGTGCAAATTCTCCATTTCTGGATTTTGAGTACCCATTAGCCATAAGGTTGTGGTAAGAATTTGCAACAAATAGGAACACATCCTGGGGAGAAACCATTTGAAAAGTAACTTGATTCTGCGTGAAATTATATAGACAGTTTCTACTTCAGGTGGTGTTGCTAATTAAGCTATCATGGTAATTTTAGCCCATATGATTCTTAAACTACTCAGAACCACGTTTCCTCCATTAAGATCCCGCTGCACCCACTGCCACATTCACTATCACAGAATAATATGGAACACTCTCTGGAATTCAATAAGTAACTTCTTAACTGATTGGCTATAGAGATTTGCCTTTACAAATTCTTTTCTTTTGTAGTAAAAGAGATTGTTTCAAAATAATCCAATTAGTCCCTAAGCATCTCTAGAAAAGTAAAACCAACAGTATGGTAATAGTCCTTATAAGGTATGTAAGAAATTATCAATCATTGACTTTAAAATGATTTGTACACTTTTCCTTTTATATGTTTTTCTTTTTTAATTGTACTTTAAGTTGTGGGATACATATGCAGAAGGGGCAGGTTTGTTACATAGGTATACATGTGCCATAGTGGTTTGCTGCACCTATAACCCATCATCTACATTTGGTGTTTCTCCTAACGCTACCCCTTCCCTAGCCCCCCATCTCCCAACAGGCCCAGTGTGTGATGCTCCCCTCCCTGTGTCCATGTGTTCTTATTGTTCAACTCTCACTTATGAGTGAGAACATGTGGTATTTGGTTTTCTGTTCCTGTGCTAGTTTGCTCAGAATGATGGTTTCCAGTTTCATCCAAAGGGACATTAAATTGCAAAGGACATGAACTCATCCTTTTTTATGGCTGCATAGTATTTCATGGTGTATATGTGCCATATTTTCTTTATCCATTCTATCACTGATGGGCATTTGGGTTGGTTCCAAGTCTTTGTTATTGTGAACAGTGCTGCAATAAACATATATGTGCATTTATCTTTCTAGTAGAATGATTTATAATCCTTTGGGTATATACGCAGTA